ATAATATTTTGTAACTGATACGGAACTTAATAGGTAGCCAGTGCAGAGACCGTAAAATTGGGGTATGATCATATTTTCTTGACCTGGTAAGGACTCTAGCCGCTGCATTTTTAACTACCTGTAGCTTGTTTATTGAATGCAGGATGGTGGATGCAGGACACTGAAACCTGACTGACTGCAGTCTGTATTAGACTGTGCAACCTGAGTTGGAGACATCTTATGAAGGTTTGTAGATCCTGGGTTGTGCAATCTAATCCAGTCTAATCTGTTAATTATTCAGTGCAGTTGTGTAGGTTCGTCTTTACTAAGGGTGTGTTCTGTGTTGTATATAGTATCCAATCGTCATACTTAAGAAGAAAAAGTAAAGATACCTTTATGGACATTGACTCAAGTAAAATTAAAGTAGCTCATTAGAAAAATACCTATATAACTGAAAACACAGTAATTTATATTAAATTATAAAATATAAAAATAATGGCATAGATGAGTGTTGGGTTGCTGGAGTCTGTGTTAGGTAGAATATGTAAAAGTTAAAGGGATATTTTACACAAAAATGTTAAATTATCGTCATATACTGATCCTCATGTTGTTACAAATCTGTATAAATTTCTTCTTCTGCAGACCATACATTAATTTTTTAGTTAATCAGTGTTAAGTGTACTTTTGCTCATTGTTAGATCATGTTTGTTTTTAATGATGCTACATCACTTCCATTTTTATATTTAAAAATTAATTTACCAAATGAATTCATTAATATCTGACAATGATGCCTAATGTGTTAGAGTCATAAACACCTTTAAGAAAAACTTCATATTATTCATAAATGGTAGTAACATCCAGCTAAACTTTTCGGATCATAAACTGTTATAACAAAAATAAGTTCATGGCATATTAATGATAATTTACTTTACGATACTGTTTCTGGAGGTACCACGGTAGATCTCTGGCATCACACATACATAGCCTACATAAACTAATTAATTAATAAATGTGTGTAAGCTGCAACTATATATTGAAGCAAGGTTTAAAATACCCCTCACAAATACATGATACCGGAATTCATGTACCATGCTATTTATTTACATGGTACTCTGGTTAAACATCATGCCAAAACACCATGGTAATACTGTGGTACTTTTTGGTGCTTTGTTGTACGTGACGAGTGTAAATTGAAGTGTAAAGGGTGTAGTTGAGTCTATTTTTGGCAACATAGTAATAAAGTTAGTGAATTACATAGTAAATGTACCATGCTATTTATTTACATGGTACTCTGGTTAAACATCATGCCAAAACACCATGGTAATACTGTGGTACTTTTTGGTGCTTTGTTGTACGTGACGAGTGTAAATTGAAGTGTAAAGGGTGTAGTTGAGTCTATTTTTGGCAACATAGTAATAAAAAATGTTGGTTACATTCTAAGGCTCCTTCAGCTATAGCAGGCGTCGCCCATAATTCCATCTTCACGAGGTCCACTGGGGGTCCCTAACACTAAACCACCCAGTACTAATCTAAACTAAAGTATACAGGGTCTCCATTACTCCATGGTGTTCACATAAAACCAGGTACCCATGTAACCAGCACTCATGAAGAGATGCTCATATATTCAAATTAAATAGCAATTTCCAATACCTAATGAAGTACTTGTACTCCGTTACTGTACATCTCTGGGTGTATTAAGTACTCCCTAAAGACATTTACTCACCGCTCAATCCAACTACAAGCACAATACTGAGGGTGAGCAGGACACAAGCCCCAATAAGTATCTCCATCCTGCGTGCAAACAGGCTTCCCTTGAGTGTTTTCTCCTCTGCTAGAATGATATCAGTTTCATGAGATGATAAGATGCATGAGATGAGAGAGACTCATATTTATACATTTAGCAGACACTTGATACATTTTATCGGTATGTACTTTCGCTGGGGGTTGAACCCACAATCTTGATGTTGACATCATGTGTCACTAGTTGAGCTACAGAAATAGCGAAATCTCTTTGTGTATTTTACTATCTAGTGCAAATGCCTGAATGCAACAAGCTTAAACAATTAGGGTCGATGTATCGCATAACTAAAATGTTCTTGGGTGAGTTTGGACTAATGCGTCTGGCAGCCATAAACTATGCTAATGTTTGGTTTTTAATTTTGTCAATATCAGGAGAAAACTAGTGTACAACATGGAATTGAGTACACATTGTGATGGTCATTACCTGTAACAAAGGGCTGGACTTTGGTAACTGGCATTGAAAGGCCGGGCTGGGCTGAGGGGGTTTCTGTTAGAGGGCCTTTGGTTGGTTTGACGGTGCTGTCATCTGGTGCAGGACTGGCACTTGAACTGTCCAGTGGACTGGCCTTGAGCAGGGTTGGGGTATCCACAGCAGGAATGTCCTCCTCGGTTACAGAGACTACCTCTATTTTCTCAGGACATATCTGATCGGTTGCTCCCTGTGTGGAAGCATGAAGACCCCAAAGTGATCCAGCATTCTTCCTTAAGTATCATTTATACAGATTTTTCTTAGATGCTATTTCATTTATTCTATATAGCAAACCACTGTTGTTTTATTATTTAAATACTAGTACTTATTGATCTGATGAATCATCTTTTATTTTGTATGTTTTAAAATATTTCTGTTTATCTTAGTTATTATTTCAGCTTTGGTTATAGTAATTTTAGTACTTCAACTATTCAAATGTATTAAAAAAATTTTCAATTAATATTTATATTTGATTTTTTTATTGCACAATTATTTTAATTAACTGAGTAAAAAAGTATATAACTACTCAGTTAATTAACTAAAAAGTTTCTCTCAACTAGTAGGTTGGATCTGTTCTGATGAGACATCAAAGGAAAAAACAATGCTAAATGCTAACACTAAAATGCTAACTTTTAAAAGGGAGAAGAAAATTCAGTTGCACTCTATTTTATAATACGTGCACTTACCTCTACTTAGAGTTTGCTTACCTAAGAAAGTACATGGTATTATAACTACATGGGTTAAGGTTATGTTTAGGGTAGGTTCGGGGTTAGTACTTAGTTATTACCCAGTTATTGTAATTACAATTACAGGTACATAGTATGTAAATGCATAACAGGACTGTAAAATAAAGTGCTACCAAAAATTATTTCCATGTGTTTTGTTGTTGATGTCAGCATTTACAGTATTTTGAAATAAATTCATCATAAAACATGATCAAGATTTCACTCTAAAAAAATGCTGGGTTAAATACAACCCAGTGCTGGGTAAAATATGGACAACCCCAGCAATTGGGTTATTTTGACCCAGCGGTTGGGTTACTACCCAGAAGGTTAGGTTAAACATTTAACCCAACCGCTGGGTCAAAATTTGTCCATATTTTTGGGTTTGTCCATATTTTACCCAGCACTGGGTTGTATTTAACTCAGCATTTTTTAGAGATCAGAAGAATACTACACTGTAAAAAAACATTTTTCAAAGATTATTGGAGTACATTTTACAAGAAAATACTATTTCAGTCTTTGTATTAATTGCTGTTTTTTTGTTTGTTGTTTTTTTCAGTCCATATGGCCGATAGGATGATTACAGCTGGTACCTGCAAACATTAATGAGTTGCTCTGTGGTCTTACCTGACCATCTGTTTGTGATGTGTCTCTACAGGGAATAGATTCTCCATTTATATTAGCCCCAACATCTACACCTGCTGTAGACTCCAGCTCCTCTGGATTAGCCATGACTTACTTCATCTTAACAGCACTCAAACATATACAGCTGGTTTTAGTGACCATCTGTTTGTGATGTGTCTCTACAGGGAATAGATTCTCCATTTATATTAGCCCCAACATCTACACCTGCTGTAGACTCCAGCTCCTCTGGATTAGCCATGACTTACTTCATCTTAACAGCACTCAAACATATACAGCTGGTTTTAGATCTGACTGGGGAAAGACAGCAGAAGAAGTAGAAGAGTTAAGGAGTAAGGGAGGTAGATTGTAATATATCACACTATGATAATGGACCAAACAAACAACACACAAAAGTTCAACACGTCTAATTTACCTAATACACTCTAAAAAATGCTGGGTTAAATATAACCCAGCGCTGGGTTAAAAAGGTTAAAAAGCTTGGGTTGTTTTGACCCAGCGGTTTGGTTGTTTTGAACCCAACCACTGGGTCAAAACAACCCAACCGCTGGGTTTGTCCCTTTTTAACCCAGAGTGTAGAGTTATAAAGTCTGTGGTGTCTGATTAGCTTGAAATTTTGTCTTTCTGTTGATCTCTTCATTTTGGGTCTCCTCTGGTCTTCTTAACTCTCACTATTACACACTGAGACAGAGAGGGACATCTGAGATGTTGTGTCATTGTGAGAAGGGATCAGATGACCCAGCATCTCTCACTATACAGCTCAGCTTACAGAGAGGCCTGTGGCCCTGATTAAAATGCAAAGGTGCATGTAGGGGCTTTAAAGATAGGAGATATAGAAACGATAGACTTTATAATGATTCGTTGTGATGAAATGAAAACTGACATGGAATCGGCTGTGATTGTGAGACCTTAAGGCTATTTGGTCAAGACAAAGTCTGAAAGTGAACGAAAGATGGTGTTAGTCTGGGTTTATTTTCAGCATTTGTTTGTGGTTAATGACTGTATTTGCATAAATACACAATTCTGAGCACAATGCTAATAGACAAACTTTGAATGTTGGCATAACAAAACCTTCTGTGAGTTTAACACAGTTTGAAGGCCTTAGCTAGTTTGAGTAATTGGACAGATTGAGAGAGAAATTTGTAGTTTGAAGGTTACATAAACCTTGTGTCCTTTAAATGCTTTGATAGTTTGAAGAGAGAAGGGATGAAGGGCTTTGTGACGTGTAGCAGGGCAGGCGAGAGCCGTGGGAGAGGGGCGAGGCCGGTGGTGCCAGTGTTAATGAGCAACACCTGTGCAAACACACCAGACTCGAGACCTGTGTGTCGCAGGTGTTTCTCATTAACACTGGCACCACCGGCCTTGCTCCTCTCTCACGGAGCCAGCAACATAATAAAGGGACGTTTACACAACAACATTTTGGAGGCCATCGTTGGCATGTAAATGCACCCCAAAACAATACTTGTATTGGTATATTAATAATGATTATGCATGTAGGGGGAGGTTATGCTTGTTTCTGTCAGGTATAGTGTTTTGGAGCTGTTGTCATTGGAGAGCTCTATGGAAGACTAGCCTGTTTTTCCACCTATTTACCTGTCATGTCTTAAGGCCTGTTCACACCAAGGACAATAGCCACACTCTAAAAAATGCTGGGTTAAATACAACCAAGTGCTGGGTAAAATAGGGACAAACCCAGCAATTGGGTTGTTTTGACCCAGCAGTTGAGTTACTACCCAGAAGGTTGGGTTAAACATTTAACCCAACCGCTGGGTCAAAACAGCCCAATTGTTGGGTTTGTCCCTATTTTACCCAGCACTGGGTTGTATTTAACCCAGCATTTTTTAGAGTGATAAAGATCATGATAAAGATACAGTTCTAAAAATCATTCTCAATATTAAAGAATAGCAGATTCCACACCACAGCTATAACGATAAAGACAGAGAGAAACGATCTGATTGGAATCACTATAAGAAATTTTTCCAGCTGATGGAAGATAAAAACATCAGAATCAATCCTGCTATAACAAGCTTGAGAATTTTGTGCTGAGAACAGACAGACTGGTGTGGATGCTAATATAATTATACTTATAGTTATCTTTATAGTTATCGTTCTTGGTTTGAACGGTCCTTTATTCAGTAAGGAGTCAATTCAACCTTTAATGAGTTTTTTTTTTTTTGGCTGTTTGCAAATTCCAAAATTCACTGTTATTCAGCATGTTCATCTTTATTTGGAGTTCAGAACTGTCAGATGGATCAGGTTTATTTCATACAATGAGATGAAATATAGTAGTTTGCTGAGAACTTGACATGCACTACATAGTAGTAAAATCATACATATCAAACTTATGCAGGACAAAATGGTTCACAGAAAATCCCGAAGTCTGTATTAGTTGTTGTTATTGTTAACTAAAACTATTAAAAAACATTTTAGTCATTGAAAAGCTGCAATAAAATATAAATAATAGATGAAAACATAAATGTTAAAAATTATTAAGAAAATTAGAAAAGTTGACAGTTTGACAATTTAAGTTGAAGTACTAAAATAACTAAATAGAAATATAAAAAAAACGAAATAATGACATAAAATAATAGCTAATTCAAAAAAAAAATATATATAACAGTATATAAATAATACTAAAATAACACTAGTATATATTTAGATCTCATTTACAATTAAATTATACACACATTAGAGACAAATAAATATGTACATATTTAAACATTCATTATAAACACAAATTATGAAAATATCATATACAGACAAAGATGTCACATTCACAAGTCATTTATCAATTTAAACTGAAAATAAATACAAATACAGTGAGGATAGTTATGGTTAATCTGAGGGACAAAATGTGCAGTATGTCAAAAATAAGTGACAGCTGTGCATAATTCACAGACTTCTTTCACCCTTCATCAGAATTCGGTGACATTTCGAGCTTGGAGCAACATTTTGAAATAGCTCTTGTTGACAGAATATGGTTAACAACGCAGAAATTAGTCCAAACCTCATGCCATCAACCACATACACTGCGGATTACAATATTTCTCAGAAATATATTTGAGATATATAGAATATAGATATATATGTGACCCTGCCTGTGAAAACCCAGCTAAAGTCATTTTTTTGTGATCAATTTAAACTGAAAATAAATACAAATACAGTGAGGATAGTTATGGTTAATCTGAGGGACAAAATGTGCAGTATGTCAAAAATAAGTGACAGCTGTGCATAATTCACAGACTTCTTTCACCCTTCATCAGAATTCGGTGACATTTCGAGCTTGGAGCAACATTTTGAAATAGCTCTTGTTGACAGAATATGGTTAACAACGCAGAAATTAGTCCAAACCTCATGCCATCAGCCACATACACTGCGGATTACAACATTTCTCAGAAATATATTTGAGATATATAGAATATAGATATATAAAGTCATTTTTTTGTGATTTACTGTTTTCTACATAAATTCATCCTTCATAAAGATGTAGAACATTCTGTGAAAATATAACCTTTGTATCTTTAATATTGACTGAGTAAGGCCATGTCAAATATTGAAATCATAGTGAAATTAATGGTTGAAATCAAACTTTGATGCGTGTTATCTCATAATTAGATTTTGAGACTTTAGCCTGGATTTCACAGACAGGGTCACATTTGAGAATATATGCATCCCTTTCCAAGTCTCATTCATGAGCGTACAGCACCCACTGAATATTTCATGTCTAAATGCTGATACTGCATGTAGCTGGAAAGTTTGGAATAATGAGTTTAATGAGATAAGGGTTTGCGAGGCAGGAAGTGAGTGCATGCCTGGTGCCGGCCCACTTTTTTTCCTTTCCTCAGCTGCCCTTGCTGCGACAAAGCCAGGAAAAATCCAGTGCTTAGGGAGGAGTATGTGTTGTAATGATTCTCCTCCATGTGCTCTTTAAACAGGCATTCATTTGAGAAGTTCTTCTACAGCAAAAAAGAGATATACTGTTAATGTATACATTTGCAAATGTGTCATTATTTCAGGATGCATTTGATAAGAATAGTAATTATACCTTTTAAATAGCTGAAATTACTATTATTTCATATAGGTGTAAGAATTAACCCCATAAAGCCTACGGTGTCGCATTTGATAGGCCCACATCAATACTTTCTAAGGCATATAAATGATAGACATGATCAAAATTTGCTGAAAAACCTGTTGCACACAATTTACTACTTTCCTTCGGTTGGCTGATTGATACTTTTTAGCAAGTAAAAGGCCTTTTGCTATAATTGTAAACATGCCCACCTTCAGGTCATGGTATCTCTTTGCTGTCTTTTTATGAATTAAACATGAGAATAACTTTTACATTGTTAGTAATATTTCAAGATTATCCATACATTTTTTTTTTTTTAGAAAATTCTTGTTAATATGTGAGTATATGATCAAGCTTTTGAGGAATGTTTTTTTGTTCATATCTCAATCAGCATTGTATTCCATTGCATTATATGTTTTGCCCTGCAGAGCTTTGATCATAAAACGAAGCAATGAAATATTATCTTACTAAGACATATTATTGGGAGATGCAGAGTGACAACTGATATTATATGCATTTTATGTGCAGTCACATTGTCAGTAGTTTGCTATACTGTTATAAAGATCTCAATGATTTACATTACACAAGCTACCAGAATTTCGTCTTACTTTTTGGCCATATGAATAACAACTGCACAAAATTGCATTTTTTTTTTTTTAGCTCAGTTTGGACCTCTGTATCAATCTACATGAGCCATAATGCCTGATGTATCAAATATGACACAAAAACATATTCAGAAAATGTTCTTTTATATTTTGTGCAAAGGTTTAATAAACTGTTATATTACAAAGCATTAGATTTTTTGACTGGTTTCATATATCAGCCTTTGCAGGGTAAAATGTGATTCTGAGAAATGTAATGTTTTGCCATTAAGTTTCACATGTCTTGTGTAACGGATGACCTTTCTCACCATTCCATGTGCAATTCCCTCCTGATTCATGCACAAATATCGTTCACTCTTCACACCACAGATACCCACTATGCCCGGCCTGACAGCAAACACTCTCAGCAAGCCTTAAAG